CATTCTCGTCCAAAAACAAAAAAAAGAAAAAAAAAAAAAAAGGCCATACAAACTCGGAGCAAACTCTGCTCTATTCGGCCCGGGTGGGGGGGGGGGAGATGAGTATTTCAGCGAAGTGATACATACAAACTTGTCGCCCCCAAAAAATGAATGGGACTTGTTTGCAGTTTGAAATTTGAATCATGGATTGAAAAAGTAGTTGCCACACTTGCACTTCCAACTCATGGGTTTGTAGTTGGAAAGGTCATCGCCTCTTGAGTGTGTAGTGGCTCTTGTTGCAGAATGTATTGCTGTCGCTGTCGAACTGTGGCTTTGGACCTGGGGGATTATTGGGATCTGAACTGCTTCACAATGTCCACAGCTCGTGCATCTTCCTTCACACCTTGGAGGCCTTGACCCTATCTGAGCTTTTGATTCCTTTACCAGCCCCTTCTCTTCTTCGATGCCCCTCTGAATATATACAATTACGAATACATTTTCAGTTTTGGCACATATTTTATACTTGTTGCACAGTAAAGAAGCTTATGTAACCATGTATGAGGAGGGAAAGGACCTCTTAATTACCTTTGACGCTTCTGTTAACCTGGGAATTGCTCGGCCTGCATGCAAAAACGTACTAGAAAATCAGCAAAGTTACGTTGGACACTTGGATATGAAAAAGCTTGGTTTTTCTGCATTAAAACAAGGGTACATAGAAGTAACCTTACCTTCAGCCATGAACCCTTTTTGGGCGAAGATTGAGGTTGACGCCAAGAGAGTTAGCAAGCATATGATTACTCGTATATATTTGTGCCAACAGACGCAGATTTGATCGCTGACCATTTTCTCTGAGAAAGAGACTGCAGGTAAGAATGGAGGAGTTGCTTCTGGTGAGTACAGAAACTTAAAATGCGCGCCAAAATAAGACGTAAGTGGTAGTAGTAATAAGTAATAGTGCATGAGTGCACTCAGTGTGTGGGAAGCAGACAAGCCATTTCTGCGCCAGAATTTGACAAAGAGAAAACTCAGATGGTGGAAGCGGAAGGCCAAATGTTGTGACTTTGTTGAGTGTTCAGTTTGAAATAAACCAAAACCCGGAAGCTAAATGTGCATGACTTTGTAAGAGAATGAGAGATGAGAGAAAGAGAGAGGGAAGATAAGTGACAGCAGAGAAGCAGTGAAGCTGAAATTCTGAAAAAGGTAGGGTCAGAGATTGAATGCCACCTCCATTATGCAAAAAGGATCACCTCTTCTGAAGTCTGATGCCTTATATAATTTCCCCATCAATTGAGAGCAACGCGGTACGTGGACTGCAAAAGCAGTAGAGTAGGCCAACATTTGACGTTGAGAGAAAGAAAAGAGCTATCCTCGTTTACCGTGCCGCCAAACAACTTCGACTGTGTCGTCATATACTTCTCCATTTTATTTATAAAACACATTTTAAAAAATTTATTTAATTTTTTTAAGTTATAGTATAATTTTTTAAATATTTTTTAAAAATATTTTAAATTTTTTCATGAAAAATATAATATCACTTTTTTAAATTTATTATATAAAAATATATTTAAAATGTTATATATTTTTTATTTCTTTTACTTTTTTTTACATTAATATTAATAAGATTGGTAACAATTATTTATAATATGTAATCCGTTCTGCGCAAAGCTGAAGGCAGAAGCAACCACATGAACCAACCCTAAAATCCCAATTTTGTACGACAAGTTCACAAAGTGGTAGAATAGCAACAGGACGGACATCATGGCCTCTCACATATTCCTCCGCCCATATATGTATAAAAAAGTTTTTTAAATTTTTTTTTATTTTTAAATATAACAAATTATTAATAATTTTTAATGAATGAACTATTATGTTCTTATTAAATAAAAAATATAAACACTCTCATTAATTTATTTTAAAAAAATTCTTTTTTTATTTATCATAAATAAAAATAAAATTAAAATGTTATCATGTTTTTAATTAAATAACTAACTTCTATTAATTTATGTCATTTAATTAAAAATATTTTATATGAGGTAGAGGGAGTATTTGATACATTCATTTTTACGCTTCCTTTAGTGAAACTCTGCCCATCCCCATCCCAACACGCCAACTCTGTCCCATTTTTGCCAAGTCAAGTCATGCGGAGTCCAGGTATCTATATCTACAATGTTACCCGTTTACACCCCCCCCCCCCCCAAAAAAAAAAAATGTTGAACTACAACGTCACAAGCAGTAATTAGTACGGGGAGAATTTTAACAAAAGACTCTTGCCCATGTTTAATTGTATTTCAAAATGATACATTTTTAAAATTTTACTACAATTTAAAAATATTAATTTGATATTAATTTTTAAAAAAAATAAAATTATCTTTATTTAAATTAATATCAAAACTTTCCTACTTCACTTATTCATTCACTTATCAAATATTATTAATTATTTTATTTCACTCATTTATTTGTCTAAAATAAAATCAAGTGAAAGTCTAATGATAAACAAGTAAAAAAAAAATGAACAAATAAAGTAAGAAAATTAATAATAATTTATAAATAAATGAACAATACATAATATAGGAATTAACATGTCGTATTAAGATGATTTAAACGCTTGAAATGAAAATAAGTAAAGTAAAGTAATTAATTATATTTTGTAAATAAATGAACAAGTGAAATAGAACCATTAACAAGTAAAGTAAAAAAGTTTTAATATTAATTTAATATCAAATCAGTATCTTTAGACTGCAATAAAATTTTAAAAATTTAGAGGTTTTGAATGTAAATAAATTTAGCTAAGGGTCTTTTGTTGAAATTCTTCCATTGGCATATCATAGATTCATCTTACAAGCAAATTCGGGCACACTAGACGATTGATATTCAGTTTTTGGGGGATATATCTTTTTTTAAGTAGACTTGGTTGAACAAGCTCTACTAAAAAGAATCCGTAGTGACATATACCATCCCATTTATACAAACTTCACGTTCCTGTTTAATTCATCTAAGGTTGTTTTTTTTTTTTTGGTAAAGATGTAAATTTGGCCTTATAGTATTTTTCAAGAAACATTTGATAGCTTATATTATTATATGGTACAAAATAAATTAAGAACTTTTAAAAATAAAATATCCAATAACCTGCCATTAATTGTAGCTGACGAAAGTTATGTGAGGCTCACAATGACACGTGACACGACACATCAACACGGTAAAAATGTAAATTTAGTCACTAACTATTTTTTGAGGAGTACTTGATAGCTTATACTATAAAAAAAATAAACAATTCAACACCTTTTCTTCAATTTTGATGAAACACCATTTATTTTTATGTTTGTAAAGCTCACAAAGCATTAATCTTTTCAATCTTTTTGTCATTATTCTCAATCTCATATCTGAAGACATTCATGAAAATAATGCCAACAAAGTAAAAGAAATAATTCATAGTTAAATTAAGATAGAATCAAGTTTCTTTCATACGTAATAAAATCAAGCTTCTACTTTATTGACACTAACCTTGTGAATGTCTTAGGATAAGAAATCTTTGAATTTTTTCTTGAGCTGGAATTGAGAATAAAAGCAAAAAGATTAGAGAGATTAATGCTCTATAGGTCTCATAAGTATGAAAATAAATGATATTTAATCAAAATTGAGGAAAAATGTGTTGGATGGTTTGTTTTTTAATAATAGAAGCTACCCAGTGTTTATGAAAAAAATAGTTCATAATTAAATTTGCACATTTACTATGCCAACATGTCATGCCTGTGTCATGTCACGTGTCATTGTGGATCTCATATAATTTTCGTTAGCTAAAATTAACAGCCACGCTATTAGATGCTCTATTTTTTAAAGTTCGTGATTTATTTTGTATCATTTAATAGTTTAAGCTATCATATGTTTTTTAAAAAATCATATATAATTAAATTTGCTACTTTATTTTTTTTAAGCCAGATTCAAAGCTAAATTTATTGCTAGATATATGGCATAAATAAATGAATCCTCATTGTGAAGCTGGTCATCAATTATCTTTGGAATAATTGCAATTAGATCCCATACAAGGGAATTAATTACTGCAAGGTTTATGACAACTAAATAATAAACTGCATTGATTAATGCAGTTTAGTTTAGTTGTCAATAGATCTTGCAGTAAATAATTATCAATATAGTTTAGTTCAATTAAATGATAGAGCACAATGACGTCTTGCAATCTATGTAACCTACTCCCACTTAATGGGATAAAGACTTATTGTTATTGTTGTTGTATAGTTTAGTTCAATTATCAATAAACCTTACAATAATTAATTTTTTTGTGTGAGATTTTAACATCATTCTCCCGCTATCTTTCATGAGAGGAATTGGAAGGGACACGGTGGGTCTGTTAATATTGAACGATGAAGATTGGACAGTTGATACTTGTGACGAGTGGGTGAGGGGACTGAAGGAGACATTGAACTTGACATTCGCGTACTGTTGGCACATCATGTGCTCTTGTTATTTCAGCATGACACGGAAATGTTGATAATACATAAATTTTATGTACAATTTGATATCACTCTTGTTTTGGTCCAAAAAAATATGCGTGCGTGTGTGTGTGTGTGTGTGTATCCTCTTGTTCCCCTCTTCTTTCCTCTAAATTTACTGCTTCCTCATCATTTTATATTCCGTACAATCATGGGACGTGCCATTAATAGAGTTTCGTTTTTTTTTTTAAAAAAAAAGGGGCGGGATTGTGGATATTCATAGGAATCCAAGGAATAAATTCAACCATTCTTGGGTCATATTAAATCTTATGTACTGTACACCTAGCTATGGAGTCTCTCTTAACACTCTTCTTCTGTTAACTAATCGAAATGCCATTATACTATAGTAGATACGAAAATTCCGAAGTGAATCAAGTTTAACCCTACTCTGTCATATCTTACGCCTTCATAACATACTTCGCCGTACTGATTCAATCCGAATGTCAGGATTTATTACTTACTGAAGGCAACTAATGGTGTGGTGGCCAAAAAGAAGGAAAATTACAGGTAAGAAGATAAAATTAAATGCCACACATTCTTTCTTCTATATCATTAACACTGTTATTGTGTCTGCACAATTCCTCTTCCGAAGCTCCCTTGTATAAGAAAGGGCTCAAACAGAATAAAATAGCAGGGGAACTATAATTCAAAATTGTCAATCATATGCTGGATAACGTCTGCTCCGGCAGAGTTGATACAGTGGAATTTGACCTGAATACAAGTGAAAAATAAGATGATGTTAAATAATTTATAGAATCAGCACAGACTGTACAAGCATACAAATTGCACGCGTAGTGAAGAACCTCCATGGTCCTGATAGTTTTCTAAAGAGAGAAACAAAAGCATTGCGATTCTTCAGCACAATTAATTTCTATTTCAAGATAGAGAACTTGCCTGAATAGTATTATGCGCTAGATATTTCTGTCTGCTGCCACTGAAACTCACATCAATGCGATCCCAGCTCATTTTTGTCAAGCCTCTTATCATCTCCTCTGGCAAGTGTAGTTATATTTTAGTAAAATGATTGAGAATATTGCTCAGTGTACATCACCAATGCTTCCTCTTCAATCAGAACCAGAAGCATGCATGTTGGCCCCTAATGAAAATAACAGAATTCAAACTATATAGACTGCACCATCAAGTTGTCTTCACATTATAGCATTCAAATACAACTAAGTTCAAAGATCTTGTCACTTGCTCTTCCCAAATTCCACGACGTCATTCAAAATTTTAAAGCATAGAATTAAAAGGACAAGCACCATATACAGAACATTTTGACTAGCCAAAACCTGAGAGGCTTCAGTTAAGTACTCTCACTTGTGAGTTCAAAAAGGTGAGCGTACCTTCCAGGTCAATTTTATCGGGCCCATTAACGTTGGTTTCAGCAAGAACTTCCTCAGGAAAATTAGTGGGATTTGCTGCCTCCACATTTACAATATGTGGATACTTCTCGTGCCGTGGAAGATTCTGAAGTAAAACTTGTAAGTTTCAATACAAAAAAAAAAAAAAATTCTAAGTCGCTGAAGAAAAAGATTAATTACTATGGGCTTGGGGAGTTCTTTCCTACGCCTTAGAGACGATGTACTCCATCCCACAAGTTCTGTTATGGTGTCAAGTTGTTCATGTAAGAACTCCAGACAGGGTAACAAAGGAATGATGAGTCTAACCAATTATTAGTTCTACTGATTTAAGTTCTAGCCATCTCCTACATTAAGCAAGAGAAAGGGATACGATCATGACGAACATTTGCATAGGCAACACGCCGTTTGAAGGACTGCAAAGCAGATCTGCAGAGGAGAGGCAGAGTGCGTTACTCTTGATGATTCCCACTAGGCAAGCCAGTCATAAAAAATCAAATTACTCCCTCCAATCCTTAAATCCTTGTTATAAGATGTTTTCAATGTTTTCACACATCTAGAAAAAAAGTTATTACATAATTAAATTTGTGTAAAAGTAACGTAAGATTACAATTTTATCCCCCATTAATTATAGAGATGAAAAGGATAGATCATGAAACCTCTGCTCACAATTTACGAGATCACTATTAAAAGTAGGGATGTAAAATCATTAGATATTTTTATAAGAACATAACTTTAGATCCCTATATTTTGCTTGCATTTTGCTATTGATCATTGTACTTTTTTGGTGTTTTTTATCTTTGTACTTTTGTTTTTCATTATTTTGGGTCTTCTCTTGAATAAAGTATAGGATCTTGAAGAGATTTAAAACAATAAAAAATAAAAGTATAGGAATCAAAAATACCGAAAACAAGTGCAAAAACTAATAGCAAACGCGAGCAAAGTACAAGGATCTAAAATTATGTTTTTTCTATTTTTACATAACACCCTATAATTTGGACCAAGATTGTAATTTAAAAAACACTTTATATAAAGAAGACAGGGGATAATGAATCTAGCTTACAAAAATTTCATATCTTCATTGTCATAAACCATCTGAACAAGAAGTGGAGGCTTCCCCTTGTCTTTATCAGCCAAAAAAAGATGTCTCCCTGTCTTGCCAAGAAACCATGAAAAACGAGTTGCTGCTTTCTCCAGAGAGTGAAATCCACATAAAACCGGAACCTGAAGAAGATTTGAACCAAGTCCAAGGAAAATAGATAGATAAACGGAGCAACTTGAAAACGTGAGACCTCAGAATATTTAGGGACATTAAGCATAGAGATAAGAGTTTTCATTTTGCTTTAACCAAAAAAAAAAGGGTTTACACCAGCAAGTGTAAACAAGGAGACTGGAAGAACAGGGAATGAAGTGTCAATGCACATAGGGTAACCTGTTTATGACCTCTAGATCCAAGGTGTGGCGTTGCAGAGGTTATGAAATTTAAGGGCTCTAGTCCTGCAATTTTTCCTTCAGATTTCCTTTTATGGCGTGCTGGATCCGAATTGTGACTTCCAGAGTGTCCATTCTCCCGAGCAATTTCCTTTGAAATGTCCCTCTCATAAAGCTTGGCTATTGCATACCTTGCAACCAGGCCACCTAAAGAATGACCAATAAATGAAATTTTCTGAACACCTGGGTGACGCTTTATAACTGATATGACCTGGGAGAAGAAAAAAGAGGGGTGGAAAATTTTGGATTGTTACAGCAGATTCAAAAACCCAAAACCCCCTTGAAACATTATAGATTGAACAGAGTAAACCATATGAAATTACAATTTTTGGACAAAAAGAACATGAAATTTCAAACAATTTGGTTGGTTCCTAATGAAATTCCAGATGCCAAGAAAGTAATACAAGCTGCTTAGCGACAATGTCATAGCTCACCTCCCCAGCTAGTCTCTCTCCCATCACATCAATACCATCAAATGTCAGCATAGAAGAATTACATTCACTGCCTGCATTGCACAATGGCATACGCATTCAATTTCATGATGAAATAATCCAAATCATCTCATGATGGAATAACGGTAGCAATATTATACGGACTTACAGTGTACAATAATATCATATGGATGCCTCATGAGAAACTGCTTTGCAGCAAATTTCCAATCCCGATCACTGCGAAAAAGTAACAGAGGTTAAGCATAACATCAGGACTGTTCTGTGCTGTCGATAACTAGAATTAATAAACTGCACAATCATCACGATATAACAAAAACTTAACAGTTAAAGTATCGATCATCAATTCATCGTATTATATATGTATTTAGATAAAAGGATGAAAAAGGGGGTGGAATTTAACCGAGAAAGGTAAGTAGGACTAGCCTGCCTATAAGACCATTGACCATTATAATCAAGTGAGTGGGATGGGGGCGCTGTCCAGAAGCATCAACAACCTCCAAATCAAAACTTTTCCCCGTCGCATCGTGTTCGATTCTGAGACAGCTAAGCTTCGGCATGTATGAATTCTTTTTACTCTTCTTCCTCTCCTTTAATCCATTGAGCTCCTTCTTCTTTGATCCCTCTGCTTCTTCAACCCTTTGTAGTCGTTCCCCATCTAGAGAAGCCATGAGTGAGGTCGGAGAACAGAACGATACTGAGTTGCTATCGTTCAGTTTTTGCGTGTCGTTTCGATGTGGGAGAGCGAGAGGTAAAATAAGGCCCGTTGGAAGCAGTTCCGGTTAATAGATTTCACTGTGCTGATAGAAAAATCAGTGCCAGGGCTGAGGAATCGTGATTCAGAATAGTCAATATGGGTTCGCGACCGATCTTGTGCTAAAATATCTTCCGTCGTATCAGAGAAAGAAAAAATGCGGAGGATGGGGCTTGGACCTCCATTGCTAGTCCTCACTCCGAGGCAATGCTGCCCATCGATACATTCAATTCCTTGACTCTGAAGTTTTCGTTGACGTTGCTTTTTTTCTTCTCTTTTTTCAAGCACGCCGCGTTCAAAATCTTCCACTATTTGAAGCCCATGTGCGTGTCTGAATCAAACAAATTTGTAACTGAGATTAGAATTAATTGAGATTAACAAATTAAGGTAAAAAAATAATAATTTTAATTTAATTTATATTTGAATACTTTTTTTACAAGGCAGTTGAATAAATTAAATTTTATTTGAATGATTTAATTTAAAAATCAATTGAAATGTATAATAATTAAAATGAATATAAGTTTTTATATATATATTTTGTTACTAATTTGATTATTTAAAAATATCAAACTTAAAATTATAATTTTAAAAATAGATTAAAAATATAAAATAGCATGGAAAATAAAAAATATTTGTTTAGAGCTTGAACATTTGTAGCCTCTTAGGTGTAGAGCTGGAAAATGGGCAGATCCGGTCCTTAAAGGTTCAAATCCTTAAGTTTGATTTTCTTAAAATACCTCATTTTTTAAAACTTGGCCCTTATATAAAGGGTTAGGATCAAGCCTGATAGCACTTATTATTATTATTTTATTTTTTAGAATTTAATATTTTTTATAATATTTCATATGTTTTTTAAAATATAAATTATAATGTTTAAAAATTAAAAATAAATAATAGAAATTTTAATTTTAAAATATAAACATATATTCTAAAGTTTAAATTCAATTTAAAAATAAAAATTTTATTTTTAAGGGGGAAAAACAAGCGGCCACGTAAGTCCAAGTCCTTTTTTTGGGCCTATTAGGGCTAGGCTTAAAAGCCCAATTTTCTTAAAAAATCATTTTTTTAAGCCCGAACCCTTATAAAAATGAGTTTAAAAAATGGGCGGCTCTTCAGGCCCAACCCTTATTCCTGACTCTACTCAGATAATCCAACTAAAATAGCATGCTATTTTTCCTTCACCATATGTCCATATCCACATATTCTTCCTACTTTCTTTATTTGCAAATTACAAACAAGTCCTTCATCTCTTTTATCTTCTCTCTGTCGATCCTTCCCTCTTCTTCCACCACCATAATTAACCTCACTAACTTAACCATCAACTCTCTCGTAAATCATCCATCTCTCTCATCCCTCAGTATTGAATATCCCATCTTCTTCTCCTCTAATGCCTCACATTCAATCATTGATCTACCAAAAATGCCAAAGCATCGGTAGCTTCTCATTTTGAATAGCCTCCACCACCAACGTCTAACCATAATGGGTCAAGAACCTACCCACCAACTTGTAGCCTATATCTTTAGCTGTGGCACCTAACCGTGCAAACCACTTCACAACCTCACTTCGATCCTCAAACCATTCCGACAACCATAAAACCTTCAATTTGTTTAGCCCATGTTCGATAGTGCAAGGAGAAGAGCAATGATGGGAGTTCGAAGGTGATAAGTAAGAGAGAGAAGATTTTGAACACTTCACTTACCAGAACACTTCTTGAAAAGCTCCTTAGGGTCTATTTGGTTCAAAGGAAAGGGAGGGGAGGGGAGGGGAGGGAAGGGAGGGGAAGGGGGGAAGGGAAGGGGAGGGGAGGGGAGCTCCCCCCCCAAATTTGGAGGGCAGGGGATCGCCCAAAACCAAATAGGGCCTTAAGATAGCTTTGGCCAGAACGTTGGTTTTGCTTCTAATGCTCATTGAATTTTTTTAATCTAAACATGACTTTAGACCTGTTAATAAGCTTTTGTATTCTCAACTAAGGTTAGAGTCTCCCAAACCTTTAGTTAGAGAGAATTTTTAAAAAAAACTATATCTAGATCTTCATCTGGATCCAAATCACCATGCTCCAAATAATCTAATAACTTTGTCCTACAAGCCTCACCCAATTCATGGATGACACTAATTAATATTAAAATATCAATTTTGTGAAAAATTACTATTAGATATGATTATTAGCAAGTATATTTGATGAAGATAAGAGATATAATGATTTCATACCTAGATAGATCCGACGAAGAAATATAATGAGTTTTGTAATTGATAGGCTTGCCTTTACAATTTTATTTTTAACTCTATGTCAAATCTCAAAGTCAACCTCAACTTTTTGTTCGAGGCACAAAAATGCATTCTAGAAGGAATAATTTTCATTTTCCTAATGTATTAATTATTGTAATATTTAAGAAAATAAAAGGTGACCAATGATTTCATTCGATCAGACATTAGTCAAATTGAATCAATTGATTTGCATAAAAAATAGGGAAAATTGGTCCCAAGGATTAGATGCAATTGAAAAACTAAGGTTAATATTTTATTCATTAAATAATTTTAGCAAATGATTGGAATGCCCTTATGTGTTAATTTTTTTTCAAAAAAACACAAAAAATCTGACCACCAGAACTTCGATCGCAAGAGCTCTGACAGGTAACAGTATGCCTGCTGGAGTCCAGACGGCAAGTGAAATGTTGTCAAAAAATCAATACCCTTGATTACATATAAATCATTAAGTATTACATATAAACTTAACAATTAGAGGGTATAAGGATTCCGACTTAAGATGTAAGGGTTCTAGCTTAAGGTATAAGGGTTATAACTTAGGTGTAAGGCTTATGGCTTAGGGCGTAAGGCTTTTGGCTTGAATGTAAGGATTATAGCTTGGGTACAAGGGTTTGGCTTGGATACAAGACTTCTAGCTTGGGATGTAAGACTTTTAATTTAGGTGCAAGCTTCTAACTTGAGGTATAAGGGTTACGGCTTAGGTACAATGGGTCTAGTTTAAGTGCAAGGCTTCTGGCTTAAGGTATAACGATTACGTCTTAGCTATAAGGAATTTAGCTTAGGTGTAAGGCTTTCTGGCTTAAGGTATAAGGGCTTCTGGCTTAGAGTGAAAGGCTTATAGCTTAGGTACAAAGATCTAGCTTAGGGTGTAAGGGATTTAACTCAAGGTGCAAGTGTTTCTAATTTTAGGTGCAAGGCTTTTGGCTTGAACAATTATATGTAACATCTTATAAATTACAATTAAATCAAATACATAGAAAGCAAACCCCTATCAATCCCTAGAATTATATGCAAATGACTATGGATTACATGTAAATCAATATGAAAAAAATTCATGAACATGCATGAGGAATAATTTTACATATATTTCCAGCGGATTACATGTCAAATCAAACCATAAAGAGGACACCCCAATTAGTGCCTTAGATTTACATGTAAACCATTATT